TTAGTGTCCTGTTCCAGTATAGGCTGTAATTTATTGATAATGTGTTGGACAGGTTTAAGTTGGGGCCTATAGGTAATGACAAGTGGTGTTCTGTTGGTTTTATGTTTTACTGTCATCCTTATTGCCAGCTTTTCAACAATCCAACTTTTAGAGGGGCATTTTACAAGTGAAAAATGTTTTTTCATGAAAATGAAATATATCTATCTTTTCATTAGGAAAGTTTCTCAGGTCCAGGATGATATCTCTGGTGAGAGAGAGCACATCAACCATTCATGCTAAAAACAGGAGTTCTCGTGGTATGGAAGGACCATCTGGCTGGAAATCATTTTTAAATCAGTGGGTTTTTGTAGAGAGTGGTATTTAATTTTCCATTAGTGATTTGTACTGTGGTGTCCAGGAAATGGATCTCTCGTGTTGAATGGTCCAGGCTGAGATTGATGGTGGGGTGTACGTTGTTAAAGTCTCTGTGGAATGCGTCCAGTGTTTCTTGGCCTTGGGTCTGGAGGGGTAAAAGGGTATGGGGTCTGAGGAAACTTTGTTCTAAGTCAGCCATAAAGATGTTGGCGTACTGGGGGGCCATGCGGGTACTTGTTAACTTGTTACTGAAGACATATGCTACAGTGATTACATCACTCTTTAAAAAGTGCAAAAGAAGATAAGCAATGCAACAAAAAACACACAAAAGGCTCAGATTGTACTGTGTGAATAACACCAGATGAATAGTTCCAGTATTTCTGTTAGCTAGCTATTTTAAGATGTCTGGGTTTTGTCTTCCATGAGATAGGGTAGATAATGTCTAACATAGAGTACCAGTAGATGAACCGGTTTGGTAACTGATTAACATCAGATTTATCTCCTGTTTAAACTCTGTCAGTGAAGCATTCAAACCATTGACTTTTACCACTATCATGAGTTTCATAGTTTGTCACTTTCTTTTCAAAGAACAAGAATAAGCATATTTGAGATAGAGAAACCAAGTATTTAACGTCCAAAAAAAGGAATTTTGATAATCAGCATTGGACGACGGAATTGAAGACTAATGACATCAGTGAATGCTCACAGAGTATGGCCATAGGCAAAGTGATGTATTCAAGTGTGACATTGATAGGAATGGAATGTTACATAAGTCTGCATGGCATTTGACTACAAAGTTTGTCAGAATTGTCTATGTGGGCTTGGCAGAAAAGCCTGAGGGGTTAAAATTGAATGACACTTTCATATAATTTGCTTAATAAATCAGAGTGGCTTCCTATAATTTCCCCTTCAGAAATCTATAAATTGTGTGATCATGTGTCAGTTATACCCTCTGCATTCCATCCATCCTCCCCTCAGTTCCTCAGTTTTCTCCTCTATCCTGGTGATACATTCCTTCAGTTTTCTCTTGTCATACAGTAAAGCAGTTTGTCTTTATCCAACTCCATTCTATCCTAAAAAGCTTTCATTCTTTGCCCAACTTCCTGGTATCTGAGCCCCTGCCCTTAATCTTCTCGTTCCACATAGTCCATCAGTTCTCTCTGCCTTCCCCACTCTGCAGTGCCTTTACCCCTTTCATCTTTTCTATTGGGTACATCTACACAGTTGCGCATAACTCAAAAATAAGCTACGCAATTTGAACTATGCAAATTGCATAGTTTATTTTGAGAGAGCCTATTTCAAAATTTGGTGCTTAATGCTAAAGTTCCAAGATGTTCATGCAGGCTCTGTCCAAGTATCTCTTTTTTTGTACATATAGACTACATTTATGTGCAAGAATAAAATGGGATCAGAAATGTCCCTTTCAGTGAGAGAAGTGTGCTATACATTTTTATTGCTTTTTTTAAAATGTAAAGTTATGGTCAAAAATAGGTCTTATTTCTGCTTTCATAGGGGCTCCATGGAGTCCCTTTTCATTGTTTTATTTCTGTGGTTCTTAAAGTGATTGTGCCAGGTTTTGGAGCAAATAGAAAAACTTAACAGTAACAAATCACCGGGACCAGGTGGCATTCACCCAAGGGTTCTGAAAGAACTCAAATGTGAAATTGCAGAACTGCTAACTGTGGTTTGCAACCTATTCTTTAAATCAGTGTCTGTACCGAATGACTGGAAGACAGCTAATGTGACGCCAATGTTTAAAAAGGGGTCTAGCAGTGATCCTGGTAATTATAGACTGGTATGCCTAACATCAGTACCGAGCAAATTATTTGAAACTATAGTTATGAATAGAATTATCAGACACATAGATGAACATAATTTGTTGGGGAAAAGTCAACATGGATGCTGTAAAGGGAAATCATGCCTTACTAATCTTCAAGAGTTCTCTGAGGGGGTCAACATACATGTGACAAGGGGGATCCAGTGGATACAGTGTACTTAGATTTCCAGAAAGCTTTTGACAAGGTCCCTCACCAAAGACTCTTGTGTAAATTAGGTTGTCATGGGATAAGAGGGAAGATCCTTTCATGGATTGAGAACTGGTTTAAAAGACAGGAAACAAAGGTTAGGAATAAATGGTAAATTTTCCGAATGGAGAGGTGTAACTAGTGGTGTTCCCCAAGGGTCAGTCCTAGGACTAATCCTATTCAACTTATTCATAAACTATCTAGAGAAAGGGGTGAGCAGTGAGGTGGCAAAGTTTGCGGACGATACTAAACTGTTCAAGATAGTCAAGACCAAAGCAGACTGTGAAGAACTTCAAAAAGATCTCTCCAAACTTAGTGACTGGGCAACAAAATGACAAATGAAATTTAATGTGGATACGTGTAAAGTAATGCACATTGGAAAAAATAACCCCAACTATACATGCAAAATGATAGGGGCTAATTTAGCTACAACTAATCAGGAAAAGAGATCTTGGAGTTATTGTGGATAGTTCTCTGAAAACATCCACACGGTGTGCAGGGGCAGTCAAAAAAGCCAATAGGATGCTAGGAATTATTTAAAAAAGGGATAGAAAATAAGACGAAGAGTATCTTACTGCCCCTATATAAAACTATAGTACGCCCACATCTTGAATATTATGTACAGAGGTGGTCTCCTCCCCTCAAAAAAGATATTTTGGCATTAGAAAAGGTTCAGAAACGAGCAACTAAAATGATTGGGTGTTTGGAACGGGTCCCATATGAGGAGAGGCTAAAGAGACTGGGACTTTTCAGTTTAGAAAAGAAGAGCCTGAGGGGTGATATGAGAGCGGTATATAAAATCATGAGTGGTGTGGAGAGGGTGAATAAAGAAAAGTTATTTACTTCTTCCCATAATATAAGAACTAGAGGACACAAAATGAAATTAATGAGTAGCAGGTTTAAAACTAATAAAAGAAACTTCTTCACACAGTGCACAGTCAACTTGTGGAACTCCTTGCCAGAGGAGGCTGTGAAGGCTAGTACTATAACAGAGTTTCAGAAGAAGCTAGATAAATTCATGGAGGTTAGGTCCATGAAAGGCTTTTACCCAGGGGGTAAGGAATGGTGCCCCTGGCCTCTGTTTGTCAAAGGCTGGAGAAGGATTG